AAGCAGAGAGGGAGGGGAGGAGCTGGGAACAGGAATCCACCCTTCCTTCCAGGCCATGCAGCCAGTGATCCACGCCTTTGACAGCACATTCAGGAGGCCCCACTTCCTAACAACACACTCAGCCATGAACTCACCCATGACGAATCCACTGATGATATGGCACCCCCATGATCCATCACCTTCCAGAAATCTCACCTCTGAACACAGGAGACTTTTAGGGGAAATCTAGAACTAATCCATGACAACCAGTCCTTCCCAAATACTGTATTGTGTCAACAGTTTAGAACCCTTTAAAAGAACAACAACAACAAAAACCTGATGGGTACCCCCAGCATTGATTTCAACCATTTCTCATAATCAGACATTTATGTCCAAGCATAAAACTAATTTTGTCTATATTGATTGCTCTTAAATAAATGTAAAGCCCAAAATAACTCAGCATGACTGCAACTGACATTTAAAAAAAAGAAACACATTTAAATTGGCAGCATTTGTTTACCATGGAGGATGATGTGGTTTTGCCAAAGCAGAAGCACCACAGGGCATGAAAGGGCCTCACTGCCACAGCGTAGGCGCCTCTGGCTTCCTCTGTGTGGCCATGTTGAGCCTTGACCCCATGCTTCATGTTTCCACAGCCACAGGAGAAGTCACTTTGTCCCGTATGGTATGCAGTGCCACCCTGTGCGGTGTCAGCTCTACCAGAAAGTGAATTGTTCCCATACCAAGTCTCCCTCTGCACTGTCCTCGTCAGCGCCACTTGGCACCTGTGACCTCATCAATGCCAGGCTGGGCAGTGGAAGCCAGGGGCTATTCCTGCGTCACTTTTATGTAGCCATTAAACACTTAGGATTTAAAGTAGAGAAGGTGGGCCGGGGACTTAGCTCAGTGGTGCTGCCGCCTGCCTCGCAAGCGCAAGGTCCCGAGTTCGATCCCCAGTACCAAATAAATAAATAAATAAATAAATAAATAAATAAATAAATAAAATAGAGAAGCTGTTGCTCCTGAGAATAATAGGCCTGGTTTCCAGCGCTGTGCAGACTCGAATGTCTGCTCAGCTCCTCTGGGGGTCTAGAGACCCTCGAAGCTGGGGCCAGCCATTCGGGAGCCCTCGGGTGAGGCTGATGCTGCTGCTCCGAGAGGCCCACACAGCGTAGGCAAGCTTGACACTGGCTTCCGTCTGTCCATCTCTAATCCCCCCGTCACCTGTGGCAAGTCGAGACTTTGAGATACCTTCAAGCCCAGGCAGGAAGCACGGGTGGGGTGGGGAAGGCAGGTGGCTTGAGATGGAGAGGAAGTGCTGTGACCATGGTCCCAGGAAGGCTGGCTCTGCACAGGCTGCCTGACGGGTAGGCGGCATGCCCGACAGACCTCAAGACCTGCTGCCGCCAGAACCCGAGCTCCCTGAGGGCAGGGCTACCCCAAGCAATGGCGAGACTCTTGGCCAGAAGCCTCAGACACCAAGCCTTCATGGGCCAGCCAGCGGTGTATCTGGATTGGCCTCTGTTCACTGCAAACAAAATGTGCTCTGTTGCTACTGTTTTCTTCCCTTTTTTTGGTACCAGGGATGGAACTCTGGACCTTGCGCTTGCAAGGCAGGCAGCGCCGCCACTGAGCTAAATCCCCAGCCCCCATTTTTATTTTTGATTAGTCCATGTTTGCAGTGTTAGTGATTCCATTCCTCGCGGGGAGTTGACACATGGACACATGGACATCACACATCTTGATTCTTTCCTGCCCTCCATCTCCAGGTCCTCTTCCCTTTTGCAAAAGATTTCTCTCCCTGTTTCCTATTCTCCATCTTTTATTTTGCTCTTTGTTTATATTTTGGGTGTAACGTAGGAGCTGTCACCTACAGATCCAGTTTTTCCTGCCCACAGCTGCACTCGGGACAGCGGGCAGCCCTGGAGGCCTCCTCCAGCCGCAGCTCTATCCTCCAGCATCACCCCGGCCACCTATTCCTGAGATCCACCACTAAGACCGAGATTTGCTCCCTGCGCCCCCACCACGTTCACCCCTGCCTCTGAGACAGAGTTTAGAGCATTTCCAGGCCCCGCTGGGGTTTAGAAACAGGAGTCCTGTCCTCCGGAGCTGTGTGCATTGCATTCGAAGGATGCCTCTGCATTTTCTTTGAGTGGCTCCCGTCATTCGTGTGTTGTATTTCAGTGGGAGTGGGGAGCACCAGATGGGCTCCCCAGGCCTGCCTGGAAGGGATGTCCTGTCCAGCCACATTCCCCAGGAGTTGGAGAAGCTCTCTGTGCACCAAGTGGTGCGGCCTGCTCTCCCTGCAGGCCTGAAGTCTTACTTCCCTTGCAGAGAGGACCTAGATTACGGACAGAGGTGCTTTCGGAGGGAGCCTGAGTTCCAGCCCTTGTGTCTGCTTTGGGAGGGCGGCCAGTGGTTCCAGACCTCCTGTGCTGAGCCAGGTGATGGCTGGGACCCTCAGAGGTTCTACCCAGGTACACAGGAAGTGCGAATTGCAGCTGCAAAGAAAGGGCAGTGGAGACTTGCCACTTCCCGTTAATAACAATCCTTTTGCCTCTGTGGCTCAGTCTTCTCTGAAACCAGGGAGCCATAGGTTCCGCCACTTGTGACCTACTGCCAAGGGAGAGTGAACGTGACCGTCCTCAGCAAGACACAGGCAGGATGGTGCTCGGGCCCATAAAGAAAAGTACACCTGGCCTGCCCTGCTCAGCTCCAGCTGCCAGGTGGTGGGCAGGGCAGCGGGTGGCTCTCAGTCTCCTGGAATCTTTGGGGACAGGATCACATCATAAATCCATGAGGGGCCTGCGGGAGCCTGGGGCTGGAGAACGTGGTTCCAGATGCAGGGGATTGCAGACCTGCTGACTTCCGCAGCACTGGTGTCTACATGGAATCCTGAGATATTCTCCAGGTGAACCACTGCACTTATTTAGAATTGTGAACATTTGGATCTTCCTTCAGCAAGACGTTTTCTTAGCATCAAAGTAAATCAGCCTAACTTAGTTCCCCGGAAAATCATGGACTCATCTCCTTACCTGCCTCCTAATTGGACCGTTATCCCTCCCCACTTTTTTCCTTAATAAATAAGTCCTTGTAGTCTCCATTGGTGGAAGGGCAATGATGAGTGTGGGATTTGCTCACGAAAGCGCCCCCAGGCCAGCCAGCGGGAGGAGCTATGCTGGTCCACCTGCAGCGCCCTGGGGTGTGCGCTGCAGCTGACGGACGCCTGTCTGAGTGGGAAGGAACAAAGCCTTGTGAAGCCTGCAGAAGCTCTAATCTTCCGGTGACACCACAGTGACCCCCAGCCCCTGGTATTGTTGGAATTCCATCTGCAATGGAGGATGGAAAAATGTGAGCCCACAGGAGAACTTGGGCGAGGTTTTGTTATGCTAAGTTTCAGAATCATAGGAATCCCACTGGGGAGGGAAATTTAATGATTTGAAGAATTGCTTATTTATTATTGTGTCTCTAGTGGTGACTGCTTCTCCCACTAATTGGTGCCATGCAATGCAGCCTCCTTTGCCTCGGTTTGCCAACTTATTAACACGCTTCTCTGGGCTTGGCTCATTGGGCTATTCTCGGTACCCTGTGTGGTTTATATTGGTGTCAATTTCAAGAAATCAAAACACCCCACATTTTGCCACATTATTTTCTTTACATAATAAGAACTTGCAGAGAAGGCATCTTCCAAAGATTCGTTTGTGACTCGGTTCAAATCTTCAAATATTTTCCCCCCGAAACAGTGTTTTTCATAGAGCTTGCTCTTCATCCATTATATCTGTGAAGCTCGGTTCTGGTCTGAGTAAATAAAAAGCAGTGTTGTGGCAATGTAACTGAAACTTGAACTCAGTCATACCGCCAGAGAATTCTTACCTCTTGTTCTCTCTTGCTGTCATTCTTGAGAGACAGCAGACTGGGAGGTCAGGGGAAGCTGACTCTGGGGCCCCTGCTTTCTCAAGTCATCCGAGTAGATCTCAAAACATGCAACTTTCCTTCCCCATAGGTCTGGGTGAATTGACCAGCATCAGTTGTAAGCTTTCTCGGTCATTATTGCGGTCGTGTCAGCTTATAAACAGACAGGAAGAACGGGTGGATTCTTCCATTTTCCCTGTTGTGTGGACAGGAATTAAAAGATGATAGTTCTAGAGGGTGGACAGAGAACCATGCTGTGAATGCTGGAGTTGAATTGAACCAAGCCAGGTGGGTGGGAAGCCCAGGCTTGGAAAGAGGCTGGAAGTCCTAGCTGGGGCCTGATCCTGCTCAGAGTTGACAGTTTTCTTCATGTAGGAAAGAAAGCCAGGGAACGAAGGTGGAACAGCCCAGGAATCGCTGCTTAAAACAAGAACATGTTCGCATTAGCTGTTCAAGGAGCAGGGCTGAGTGTGGCTTCAGAAACGTGCCGATTTCTGATTGTGGACGCTTTTCCAGGGGAACTACTGTAATTCCATCCAAAACAGATCGAAGTACACAGAGGTTATTTATCAAATATTATTACAAAAGTTTGTAAGAGGAATTTCTGCTTTCATGAATTAAAATATGAAATGAAGCAAACAGTAAAATGAATTATCTGTTATAGGGTCAGAGTATGATTAATGTGTTGCTCTTAGAAAGGGAAGCTTAGTGTTCTTTCTTTAAAACATTATTCCTTTAGGTGTTTCCTCTGTGAATGACTTCGTGGTATGAGAGGTACCAAGTAGCACATCAGGAGACCTGGTGTTAGGTGTGTGGTACTGCTGGTAGATCCTCAGCATTCGCTGGCACCGCAGAGCTAAGTCCTGTACTGAGACACTTGAGACCGTATGCCCAATGCCACATGTGTGTTGTATATAAAAGTCAAGCAAAAGCCAAGCTAACGGACAAAAATAAGTGCAGTTTCCCTTTTAAGATGGCAAAAAGAAAAAAAATTTTAAAAGATGGCAAAGAGCCAGAGAAAGATTAAAGATGTTTTAAGTGACATTCACACCTGCTGCTTCCGTCCCTGTTTACCTGAGACTTTCTGTCTGCCTCCCCTTTCCTCGTAGGGCATGCTGTTGAAGCGAAGTGGAAAGTCGTTGAACAAAGAGTGGAAGAAGAAATACGTCACCTTGTGTGACAATGGCGTGCTGACCTATCATCCAAGTTTGCATGTGAGTACAGCCGCTGCGACAGTCACCCTCCAGCCCTCCATGAAACCCTAGGGGCAGCGGATGCGAGCAGCAGTTGGGCCTCTTGCCTGTGTTTGAAGTGAAAGTAGGGTTTGGTCTCCTGTTCAGTCGTGAAATTAATAATCCTGCCCCTCACACTCAGTTGGACTGTACGTCTTGCTCTCTCCTTTCCCCTCCCTAACAGTTGATCTACAGCTCTGTAAATCCACAGAGAATTACAATAAAAGACACAGATGAAGTAAAATTTTTAATGAGAGTTGAAAGACAGGAGCAAATAGCAAAAGCGAAGGAGGAAAGAGCACACCTCTCTGAAAATCTAGACTGAAAGAGACAATTACATCTGAACCCAGGGCTCAGCTCTGAGCAGAAATGAGAAGTTCCGTGGGACTCATACTCAGTTTCTGTTGTCAGATAAGATGCCAGTTCCTAATATCGAATGACCATCAGAATCACCCCCCAGATAAAACCCCACTGGCGAACCTTGTGGCTTGAGTTGTGGAGTTCACACCCCGGCCACTTCTGTGTCAGGCCTTGTGTTCCCTCAGGCTTGGGTGCTGGCTGCAGCCTGCAGTCCTCGCTAACACTAGACCACACCACCTTTCCAGGTTAGCAAACATACTGCACTCCACTGTTCTGACACTTACCTAATACTCCACTGGGCAGATATGCCCTCCGTGACTCACCGATATCTCAAAACCTGACATTTAACAAACACGTTTACTTTAGGTTTTTTCACTGTTAGAAAGAACTTTAAATCCATGCCCTTCTCTCTCTATCTCTGTGTCTTGTCCATTTCCCTAGAATAAATTCCCAGTAATCAGATTCCTGACCTGAAGAGCATGTGTGCTCTTATGGCTTTTGGTATATGTTATCAAATTCCTAGGGGGATTGTATCAGTTTATCTCCTGGCAGTACACAAAAGACCTTTTCCCTGTGTTCTAAATAGCATTTAGCTTTTATCTAAAATAAAAAGTCTTTTCAACATGCCAGGTGACAAGTGGTCCCCTTGTTTAATTTGCTTGCTGGGATGAACGGCACTTTCCCGCCTTGTCTCACAGCAATAGCCACACCTTTCAGATGCATGTCCAAAAGGCAGGTGTGCCATTAGGCGTCCCGGGCTTGGGTCTGCTGGTAAGGGCAATGCATGGGAGGCAATCCCTGACTTGTTTGTTCTCCTTAGGATATTTGCTGCCCATAGAGCCATCCTGCTTTTTTACTTTCAGTGCAGAATCCAATAAGTTACACAAGCTCTTCAGTACTTTCAAACAAAGCAGGCTTTGCGTTGGATGATCTTGCCCAAGTGTAAACTAATGTCAACTGAAGTAGACTAGGCTAATTGTATAATCTGAGGATGTTCAGTGGGGTAGGTGTGTTCAATGGATTTTCTACCTGCATTTTCCACTTAATGATGGTTTTTAGGGATATAAACCCATCCTGAGTCAAGGAGCATCTGCATATATATGTAACATACATATTATATATTATATATATAGAAATGTGTCTCTATACAAGATCTGTAGGTGTAGTCTTACGCAGGTACAAATATTTTTACTCTTACCTACATACAGGGAGAGATGTTTGTCTGTAGAGAAATATGATTCCTTGACTGTGCTGCCAGTTTACTTTGGAGTAGAGTTGGTTCATCAGGTGGCCTCCAGATCAGAGATGGAATCGTGTTCCTAAGCCCTCCCCCACCCCCGTGACCAAGCTGCCTCTTGGCCAGGCTCTTACTGGTCCTGTAGCCCCTTCCGTTACTGGCTTCCATCCACCGGGGCTCAGGCAGGGCCAGGTCTCCACTGCTCCTCTCCCCAGAGCTGCCCTATCAGCAGGGGAGGCTGGTATGTTGGGGGCTTTGTTCTCCTTAAGACCCTGTCGGGGCAAAGATCTAATTATCCAGTGCTTTCTGTGGACCTTAGAAAGGGAAGCGTCATCCACATATTCTTGCTAGGACTCCGTGACCAGTAAAAAGTGAAACCTGCCTAATCACTGCATATTACCCCAAGCCCAGATCAGCCAAAGGGATGTTTGTTTCTTGCCTTGGGGGAAAGAGGTCACAACAGCACGCACCAGAAAATTCCTGCACCAGAAAATTCCTGCAGCGGGGCAAATGCCACTCGCTTTCACTGCAAGCTCTTGATTTACAGAATCACAGTGCATTCTTCAGAAGTTTACCTGTGTACCGACTTTTGGCCAGTTCCATCTTTTCTCTTCTCCCTAATTCAGCGTGAGCACCCTCGGAGTACAGAAGAGGGTTCTGCAAGCCCCAAGGACACATGCATAGTCCAGGGGGAGTGGCTCGGCCCAGGGATGCATTTGAGTTCCTAGGGCCTGGAGAGATGGCTTGAGCTTCCATGAAGTACTTCGTTGATTTGGTTTCTACCACCTCATTCTAGATGGAGGTGCACTGGTTGCCCGATGTCTGGAATGGGCTCAGTTCTATTCTGAAGCGTGGGAAGCTGCAGGTGCAGAACACCGGAGCTCATCTGGCACTCCCCGTTCAGATAAGAAGGGGGACTGGATGAGATGCCTCTGGGAGTAGTCCAGACTTTCCTCAGTAAGAAACTTGGGGGCTATGCAGAAGTGTGGCTAGTTCAAGTCTTAAAACTCTGTACCGTTTATTTCAGTGTGGAAAGTTTCAAAAGCTGATGGACCCAGGTGGTCTCTGCAAACCCTTGCCGCATTGTAACACCTGCTTCCCAGGTGCCCTCCAAGATAGAATGGCAGTCACTGAGATGATTGCAGCCATGGACCACGTGTGAGAGTGGCTCAGTGGTTAAGTGTCAGGGAGAGCTGGCAAAATTGATGGCTTTATGATCGGTTGGTCCCAACCCTGTCACTGACCATGCTGTGGGGTGGATCTCTGCCAGCTCACCCTGGTGACACAACCTTATCTGACCCCTGGAAGCTGCTCGATGCTCAGGGTTTGGGGCTGGTGTCCAGCCTCTAGACCTAGACGCCATCACTAAACGTAGGCATCTACCTGTTAGTGGACCTCCTTGTGCCACAGGAAAATGTTACCTGATTTGCAAGAGCGCTCTTCCCCTCTCCCTTTTCTCTCAAAAGCAGTTCGGGGTCCAGGTTCCTCGGGAACCCCCAGAGTAGGGGTCTGTGTTAATCGCCCACACTGTACCTTACAGCCTGTTCCTTTCCCTGGAGCTGAGGAAAAGGACTGGGCTCAACGATCTAATACAGAGTTTGCTGCAAAGACCTAAGTGCCCAGTAGTGCTGGATGACTGCTGGCTTTTTCAGAGGGCGCCAGCACTCGTCTTGGGGTGGGATTCTCACCGGCTGATGTTTCTGGGATGAGCACACCAGGCTGGAGTGTGCGTGTGAGCTGCTCATGGTCGTCATCAGGCTGGACCCTGTGCTGTCGCTGCCCACCTTGCACTTGGTTATCCGGTTCAGCGTGGGAGCCAAGGGAGGGTCTAGTACAAAGGCAAGGCTGGAGGGACAGTGGAGAACCGAGCCAAGTGTATGTGGACATCGGCCCGCCCGGTGAAGGCTCCGAGATGTGATCACCCCCTCTTCCCTGAGGCCCTTCACTAGAAGTTCATGGCTGTCTCAGAGTCATCTGTCCTCCAGGCCCAAATGCAGGAAGTGGAGTCGGGCCATTGCACCCTTGCCCTCTGCCACACTATGTGCCCACTAGTGTGGGTGTTGGAGAGCTAGGTCCAAGGGGCTCTGTGGCCCTCTCAGGGTGATCTAGATGGCACTTGCATCCTTAGCCAGGTACACTCCCGCATGAGCACCCACCATGCACCCCCCGGACAGACAGGCATGCGAAGGCCTGGGGTGTGTGAGGCAGATACGGACTTTGGGGTAACACTGCCACCCGAAGCCACACCCTGTGCCACTCTTCCCTGTCACCTCCTTGCCTGTCATCTATCCCCAGCAATGCTAGTCTCCTCTGTTCCTGTGTGGCAAAGAGCCCTCCGCAGCAGGGCGCCCGAGTTTGACCAGTCTGGGCCATTTCAGTAACATGCCGAACACTGGCGAGGATTTGAGAATGTGCTCCCTGGAGGCTCTGGGAAAAGGACCTTGTGGAGGAAGTGAGTGTAGGAGATCCGTAGGTAACAGGCACTGTTGGCTTATTACACAGTATCCCTGGAAGTGTTTGTGTACAAGGTGACATCCTTGGGACGCGAAGCCCAAGTTTCAGCCTCAAACAGTTATTTTCCACACATAAGTGTGGCAGAAAGCAAACCCAGCCTTGTGGCAAAACAGACAGTCGGGGCGCAGCCCTGGCTGTGCTCTGAGCACCTGGAGTCCCAGTGGATTGCATGCCATCCAGAGCTATGCCTGCAGAAATGAGCGGCCAGCTGTGAAACTGGGGGCCCCTGCCGTGGTGGGCGACACCCAAGGGGCTTGGCACGAGGCTAGAAAGCTCAGCAGCCAAAAGCACCTTGATGCTCATCCCAAGGCTGGAGGCCTCACTGGAACCTGGGCCAGTTTGTACAAGCAGAAGATTATGGCAGGACCCAGGACCTCTGCTGGGCCAGGGCGTCAGAGCTCACTTCCCACCCACTGATGTTTTCAGTTCTCCTCTTTATCATCCTTCTTGCTGCCACACCTGCTTTCTGTGGCCTCAGTTGGCCCCCTTTTGTGGCATCATGCCCTGAAAGCATCACTGTGTTTGAACCCTCAGCCCAGGCTGCAATCCTGCAAAGATAGTCTAGAAGACCCGTGATGCTGGGATCCTTCCAGGGGGCTCAGCCTCTCTGTCCTTTGTGGAGTCTGGGATACACCTCTGCCCTCCCTGCCCTGCTCATGGAAGATATGGAAGGAAACATTTCTCCCAGCGCTGTTTACCTGGTCCTGTCTCAGGGAGGAGACCGCTTGTGTGTACAGACTGGGACGTGGAGCAGGCTGTGAAGGCCGGCTCCTGGGAAGCGACAGCTCCTCGGAATCAGAGGGAAAGTGAGCAGCACGCAGCCACCTCGGACAGACGCAGCACACTCCCTGGAGGCTTCGCAACAATCCGT